TCTTTCTAGTTTGTAATGATTGTGGCAAGAATTTTATATCTTTTGCATAATACATACTCGCATAATATGTATTGTATTCAATAGTTACGTTTCTCTAATCGTTATAAAATTATATTATGTATTGTAATCGGTGCATGGATAAAGGCAGAGGGTATTTACAACTTTATAATGGTTTTGAAAAATATAATTTTGAAGTGGTCATTTTCTATATCGCTAGATAATTAATTTCCCTACCTTTTCATTATACTTGGAGGATTGAAAGTCAACTTTTAAGTTTTCCTTACCTCTTCATTATCCACGACCTATTTTTATTGTGCTAGACATGGAAAACTCGATCTACTTTTATACCTCTCAGAATCACCAACAGCTCTTCGTCGCTGGCCACTCGTACATAACCCACCAGTTTCTATCTCATCCCTGTCTATTATTTCAAAGTGTTGCAAATTTATAAAATTACTATCAAGAGTATCCAAAACTACAATTACTTGTCATTTTCATTAACGCACACGCACCAAAAAAAAAACACCCACTGAAAAACATCTCTGCATTAACAGTTCAAAAACCCAAACCACCAAATGGAAAAACACTTAAAATCAAATGCCATGCATGTGATGAATCAATCCATTTCTTTCAGCAATGTTCTGCAGCATATTCAACTGTTCGACGGAGTAAACGCAGCATTCTTTTGAGTAAAGCATCGTCTGAACCACGGGAGAATTCACCACCACCTCCAGCAATTGCTGCCTGTTCAGCCGCTCCAAAACACTCCCATAAACTCCACCATTTTCTTCATTGCCGAAAGAAAGTGGAGGCGCCGCCCCAGTGTTACTAGGCATAGACTGGAGGACGCTACTCTGCGCCTGGAGGAACTTGATGTACTTGTATGTCTCCTCCAGCATCGTTGCCATGTCCATCCTCTTGTCCCAAGGCAAAAGCTTCTGCAAACACCTTGTCTTGTCGCTAATCCTCTGCCGCCGCTGCCTCGCCAGTGTGCTCGACGGCGCCACAGCTCCAGGAGACCTGTATGGACCGAACCGGTGCTGGTGGTAACTCTTCTCCGAGTGGGTAGCACTCGCTGCCGGTTCTGCTGAGTTCGACGGTAAGGAAGCAGCGAGTTGGAAATGCTTGTGTTGAGGCAGCTCCAGAGAGAGGAGGCTAGGTAGCTGAGGGAAGATGACATCAGATTCAGCAACAGACGGCGTCGTATTGAAGAAGAAGTTGTACTGAGGAACCTCACCGGAGACGGAGCTATTTACATTGAAAAACTGCTGTTCAGTTTTCGGAATTTTCAGATTATGGATTTCCGTTGCCGGATAGCCATTGGGATCGTAGTTGAGAGAAGACTCCAAGAATGGAGGCAGCGGCGGCGTCTGGTCTTGCATCAACAAGGAGTGGAAGGTTAACCCGGCATGGACGCCATTGAAAAAAACTTCGTCCACCACCATCTCCGCCGTGGAGGAGGCTTCGCCGCCGCTGAAAATAGGTTTTGTTTGAAGCTGGAATCCTCTCTCCATAGCTTTTTCTTAAGCTCTAAAAAATGAGAGCGAGTGGGATATTTATATGTACAGTGTGTGGAGGAGGACACGTGGCGGATAGAGAGAAAGAAGGACGACGGTGACAGGTGGCGCCGCCTGTGGCGGTATGAAATTCTGACGCGCTGTTGCTTTCTGTCTGTACTATCATATGGCCGTTTGGTTTTATGTTACCGTGAAAACGACGTCCTCGGAGTGAAAAGGAATACGGATCGTCGGGTAAGAAAAAGCCGGTGCGATTTGACTGGATAGTGATAAATATAAGGAAAAATAAATTTACAATTGCACCCTGAAGGGAAAAAGTGATTTTGCTCATATGTATTTTTTATTTTATAAATATTTATTTGTAATGGTTGAGATTTTACCCAGAGCTCAGCTAACCAAACCAGCCAATTGGTCCAGTTCTACTTAAAATCGACTTCATTTTTATCTGAAAATTGAGAATAGAACGATTTTAGTCCATCTCATGACTTTAGCTGTAAAATCAAATTTTAAGAAGTTCCATAAATATTCTTTAATAATCTCTCAATTAAATTGTAATTTACATAAATTCGGAATAATGATAGCTTTATCATTTAAAATATAAAGCATGAAAATGAAATGAGGGAAATATAAAGTTTAAACAACAATTTACACTTTAAAATTTATTTCTGAAGTATAAAAGATCGAACTAAAACAGATAAATGGTTCCATGAAAAAAAAAAAAAAAAACTTTCTGAAATCTAGTCCAATTATTTTCTTCCCATGGAACCGATTCTCAATTTCTAATGGGAATCGACTCCGTCCAATTCTAAAGCTATACGATTAAACCATCCAATGTGCACTCCTAATATTATTAAATAATAAGAGACTTATTCTCGTGCCCATGGTGGTTAGGAGAATAATATTCCCATCGTTAACATGGTGCCACGTTGCGGTGCATCTTTTTTTTTTTTTACTGTATATATTTGATTTTTCCCCCGCACCTCGCCCAACCATTTTTGCCCTTTTTACCAACTCACCCACTACACCCGCCACCCTATTATAACATATAAACAATTTTCTTGATTTTTATGTCAATTTTCAATATTATTACGAGATGTCAATTGAAACTGCAACATTACATTTTTAATATTATTTTAAAGTGCTCAAGGCCTAATTTCTCGCATCCTTAACGGCACGCAAAATGGTCAACTTTAGCAAAAGTGAAAATGCGTCAATGTATGCCGTTTCAAACTAGTATTTTGACAATTTCGATAGCATGCTAGCTTTAAAAGTTCGTTAACAATTGTACGCTAACCAAATCCACAAATCGCTTTCGTCACCTTGAAACTCGATTCGAAAACTATATAGTAGATATTATCGAATAGTCTAAAGGGAATTCGTTTGGACATCGAAAAAATTAAACGAGCGTCTGAAAAAGAGACGCATAACTCATTTTTCATTAAATTTTTTCAATTATTTCAATAATGTTTATTATTTTTGCACAAAATTTTTTTTTTACCTACAGTTTATCTTATTTTATTAGAATATTTTTACATGGGTATAACGTCAAAAAATTTCAGATCATTACACAAAATATAAATTAATATTGAATAAGGCTAAAGTTCAAGTTATTTTTTCTTATTAGAACAAATTAATAAAATAAAAATGTGGATTTAAAAGAGAAAAAATAATTCAAACTTGATTTATCATATTTTGTGTAATGACTAGAAAATTTTTGACGTCATATATGATGCTACCAAAAATTGTACATATTGATTTCCGAGCTTGACGACCAAAAGCAAGCACGAATGAGATCTTCTGATACCTGAAACAAAGGCGTCGAGGTGTATTTTCATCGTCCCTCCAATACTTAAGTCAGAGAGAGAATTCGTGAAGAATATATGCTGAAACTTATTTTTAAAAACGTATGTTGATAATAAATTGGAGTGCTGTATTTATAAAGGTAGGTAGTACATTCCTGGTAGGAGTATAGTGTTGAAATCCATATGAGTTCTAGCATGCTTGGAAGTTGCAACTTGATTGGTTTGTATCACCCATGTGTTTGGATAAAGATAGAACTCTGGTGGTAGAATCCTTTAAGGATGAGGTAGCATATTAACAGTATGACTCAAATTTCTTAGAATTGGATAAGTCTTGTCATGAAGGAGAGTCCTAATAGATCAGAGATTGCTTAGTACGAGGTTCAATCGTAACCTCGAGAAAGACTTAAGGGGGCAAAGAGAAGCAATCCCGATGAGACATGACCGATGAGGTTACGAGGGTCGTGGTCAAATAGACAGGGTACTCCTCGGGGTTCAATTGTCCTCGGGTCATATATATGTTGGGATCATCAATATACATGTAAAAATATCTAATAAAATAATATAAATTATATTAAAGAAATTTATCATTCAAAAATAATAAATAGTAATGAACTAATTGAGAAATTTTAACGAAAAATGAGTTATGCGTCTCTTTTTCAGATGCTCGTTTAATTATTTTCGATGTCCAAACGTTATTCGTTTGGATTATTCGATATATTTACGATATAATTCTCGAAACAAGATTCAAGGTAACGTAGGTAATTTGTGGATTCAGTTAGTGTACAATTGTTAGCAAATTTTTAAAGTTATCATGTTTTCGAAATTTTCGAAATGCTACTTTGAAACGACCCACTTTGATATATCGTAACTTTTGCTAAAATTGATCGTTTTGCGCATCGTTCATGATGCGGAAAACTAGGCCATGATGACTTTGAAATAATATTAAAATTGAAATGTTTCAATCTCGTTTGACATCCCGTAATAATATCAAGAATTGACATAAAAATTAGAAAAATCATTTATATGTGAGAAAGGGAACGGGTGTAGGGGGTGGGTGAGTAAAGGGCAAAGCTAGTGGGGTGGGTGCAGGGGAAACAATCAAAAAATAATAAATGCATCATTGACGTGGCATTGCCACCTCAACTATGGAAAGATTGTTGGGCAGGAGAACATGTCTGTATTAAATAATGCTATTAGTATGAGGTGGAGATCTTCCCTATATGATAGGTAATATGGAGTGAAATGATAATATCAATTAAATATGTGGGTATGAGAATGACCTATCATTATCATCTACATCATATGATGATAAGTCTCACTCTATGCATGCATTACTCGTGTATTTACAATAAAAATATTTTTTTTTTAAATTTTGAAAAGTAAAAAACTTATTTTTCGCAAACATGATTTTTACTTTTAAGTAATGAAAAAACGAACATGCACTGACATCTTCACTTGCAATAATGAAATCATTTTTTTTTTCACCTTCTACGATCATGTATAAAGTAAAAACAATTTGCTCAACACTTATTTTCACTTTGTTCTCTCACTAAAAGAGATGGGAAAATCGAGTCCTATAAACCCTACGCAAATTAAAAGCTGCTTATCTAAACCAACAGTTACGCCTATGTTTATGTTTGGTAGAGGTTAAAATCAGATTTTAAGTAGGTTTTGATAAAAACTGATAAAAATATGTGATTAAAAAGTTATTGGCCTCATTAAATATTTGGTTAAAATAAATTTTTTACTTTGACTTATGTTAAAATTTAGTTTTGAATCACTACATAATAGGGAATACATCTCCAGCCAACAGTAATATAAGTGGACGATTAAAAAAAAAAGTATTAGGTTTTGAAGTTGTTGGCAATTTTTTTGACAAAACTATTATTGGAAAAGGGTTTTCAAAAGTCATAGGGTTCGAGTGTGGAACAAAGGAGTAAATGTCGTCGCAATTTTGCTAGTCTATTGCCCAATCGTTGCTCGAGCGGTGAAAACAGAAGCTCCATCGCCCACCTGTCGCTCGGACTTTGCTTGAGCGAGACACCGTCGCTCGCCTATCCCTGAGCTCTCGCTCGAAAGACAATGTATTCCAAAAAAATCGAATTCGCTTTTTTTAAGGTTTTTATCCGGTCGATACTAACCAAAACCTTTTCACTATATATATTGACGCCACCATTCGAAAAATAAAGGTTGAGCATTGAGAGAAACAAAGTTTTGCATCCTCCATATCATTCCACATCATTTCTAGAGTTCAACCATTATATTGATTTCAATATTGTTGTGAAAAACATCAACCTCACATAAACAAAACACAAACATTTTCTTCCATAATATCTATTAGAGTTCTAATGATCAAGGAAGGTGACCGGAGTTTCTGGTTGTTGGAAAACGATGAGTTTTCATTAATCCACAGAAGATAAAAAAAATCAGAAAGCCGAGAGTTTGGTGATTACAGTCAAGATGTCAGAAAATATTAGAGTTAGTCGAGTCTGACAGTACTTTAAATTGATTCGTTTATAATGGATTGTCACTAATTTGGGCTCAAAGTTTTTACCCAGTTACGAGTTTTTTCCGTTATCAATTTTCTAGTGTTATTTATTTTTCAGTAATTTATTAACTCCGATAATTCAACATATGATAGTAGTGCATGTGAATTCATCTGGATTAACGGACGGGAATGCTACCACAGCAACACCCGTAGGAAACCTGTGAAACTTTGTCTATCCTTGGGGAATAATCCTTTGCTCTATCCATCTTGTCCGGCAAGATAGCTTCAACTATCTATATTTTTTGTTTTTTTTCTTTTCTTCTAGTCTCTTTCTAGTTTGTAATGATTGTGGCAAGAATTCTATATCTTTTGCATAATACATACTCGCATAATATGTATTGTATTCAATAGTTACGTTTCTTTAATCGTTATAAAATTATATTATGTATTGTAATCGGTGCATGGATAAAGGCAGAGGGTATTATTAACCCACCAGTTTCTTTAAACGCTGGCCACTTGTATATAACCCACCAGTTTCTATCTCATCCCGTCTATTATTTCAAAGTGTTGCAAATTTATAAAATTACTATCAAGAGTATCCAAAACTACAATTACTTGTCATTTTCATTAACGCACACGCACCAAAAAAAAAACACCCACTGAAAAACATCTCTGCATTCACAGTTCAAAAACCCAAACCACCAAATGGAAAAACATTTAAAATCAAATGCCATGCATGTGATGAAACAATCCATTACTTTCAGCAATGTTCTGCAGCATATTCAACTGATCGACGGAGTAAACGCAGCATTCTTTTGAGA